GCATCACAGTTTGCCGATGACGCGGAAGTCACTGGGATTGATTTCGGAAGACGACAGCAAGAACCTACACGAAGATCTGAACTTGCTGCAAGAATGGTTCTAACAAATGGCCCCTAGAGCTCAACTCCTGCAAATGTAGAGTAATGAAGATGGGTGCCGAGGCCAGAAGGTCGAGCATCAATACAAACTTAGAGGTGAAAGCTTTCTGAACTCGCCAAAGGGTAATTGATATATGAATATGCACATATATTTAGGGAGCCGGTCGGCCGAGCGGACAGCACACTGGACTTGTGATCCTGTGAATCTGGGTTCGATCCCAGGCGCCGGCGAGAAACAACGGGCAGAGTTTCTTTCACCCTATGCCCCTGTTACCTAGCAGTAAAATAGGTACCTGGGTGTTAGTCAGCTGTCACGGGCTGCTTCCTGGGGGTGGAGGCCTGGTCGAGGACCGGGCCGCGGGGACACTAAAAAGCCCCGAAATCATCTCAAGATAACCTCAAGAAGATCACGCAAGAACAGGGTGAGGATAGCTTGAGCTACCTCACCCCTTTGTATGTATTTATAACTCAGTAAACTTATTTCACTTTCATCACACAGGACAGACCTCCTGGGATACACTAGGTGTAGTGGGCCAATACACAGTCCTTGGGGACTCCTGCTGAGTAAATTAATTAACTATCAGGGGTAAGCGCCAAGTCATTACGACTATATAGCACTTGGAAGGGGTCAGGATAAGGATTTGGGATGGGACGAGGAGGGAAAGGAATGGTGCCCAACCAATTGAACGGTCGGGGATTGAACGCCGACCTGCAAGAAGCCAGACCGTCGCTCTACAGTCCAGCCCAAGTGGTTGGGACCTCCTGCTGAGTAAATAATGTTATTTTGTTGTTGAAGAGTGCAATGATTGACCTCTTTTTTCAGGTAAATAATTATAAAAGGCTAAATTTTCCTATTCTATTTAATAAGTCTATTGGTAAATAAAGTGAATACGAATAGAGGTTTGAACATTACGTTAAAATCGCTCATAATAATTCAATAGTGTTTATAAACATCTGAAAAATAAAATACCAAATTTACCTGCATAAAATTTTGCTGCAGTAATAACTGTGTACTCACCTAGTTGTACTCACCTAGTTGTGTATGCAGGGGTTGAGCTTTGCTCTTTCGGCCCGCCTCTCAACTGTCAATCAACTGTTTACTAACTACTTTTTTTTTCACACCACACACACACCAGGAAGCAGCCCGTGACAGCTGACTAACTCCCAGGTACCTATTTACTGCTAGGTAACAGGAGCATTCAGGGTGAAAGAAACTTTGCCCATTTGTTTCTGCCTCGTGCAGGAATCGAACCCGCGCCACAGAATTACGAGACCTGCGCGCTATCCACCAGGCTACAAAGCCCTCCTGTGTGTGGGTGTGTGTGTGGGGGGGGGATCAACACTTGGGGTGCAGACAACACACTGATGATGTAACTATTGATCATCAGCAACACACTCCTGGGTGTTGTGTGGACATGTAAATACGCTAAGTGGTCAGGGAACCAGTAATACCTGACCTGAGGCGCGAGTCTCTTAATGGAGGGTTTCTTAAGTGGTTCTCACACTTAGTGGCCTAAAGTCTCCCAGTTATCATGAATTCGTATGAGTGTGAGAGGGAGTGAGTGTGAGAGGGAGTGAGTGTGAGAGGGAGTGAGTGTGAGAGGGAGTGAGTGTGAGAGGGAGTGAGTGTGAGAGGGAGTGAGTGTGAGAGGGAGTGAGTGTGAGAGGGAGTGAGTGTGAGAGGGAGGGAGTGTGAGAGGGAGGGAGTGTGAGAGGGAGGGAGGGAGAGAGGGAGGGAGGGAGAGAGGGAGGGAGGAAGGAAGGAAGGTGCATAACTTGTCAGATACCACCACAGTTTTGCTTCAAGTTTATTCAACTTTAAGGACCCGTGCAAGATCGTTCATCTACTCCCACTAACCACCAGTAACCACGACCATCACCACCACCATCTTGTCTACCACCACACACCACAATTAACATTACCTACAACCACCACACATAATTACCACACTCCCCCTTTTACCACAACCACCACTATCGCCGCCATACACCTCGACTATTACCCCAAGATCTCCCAGCCCCTACTAAACATCACCTGTACCCCCCATCGTCCCCTTAACACCCCCTCCTCCCCCTTAACACCCCCTCCTCCCCCTTAACACCCCCCCCATCCTTTTCCCCTTAACCCCCTCTTCTTCCCCTTCACCAACAACCACCCTTTGCCATATATTGCAGCAATAGACTTGACCTCAATTGGCCACCAATCACGTCTGTCTTCCAGAGCAGAAAAGAAACCTTAGCTCAACCGCCCATCAAACCAAGTGTCAAATTTGCTTTCAAAATATTATTAAAAACCACAATCAGGTCAGGTAGCTTGCCAGGAGACGGCGAGGACGGGGTTGAAACCTAGAGACCACAGCGCGTCTTCGAAATCGAACCTCACAGCTACTAAGTTGGCTCACGAACTTCTCTATCGAAGTGCACTTGGCGGCGGGGGATGACGGGTCGTGTTTCATAACTGGTGCACCACGAGAGCTCTTTCCAGCGATATTTTCACGTTGTGGCGTGATTACGGTGTGTGTGTGTGTGTGTGTGTGTGTGTGTGTGTGTGTGTGTGTGTGTGTGTGTGTGTGTGTGTGTGTGTGACCTTTTACCATCCGGTAAGTGTGTTTTGTGTCGTCTCTCAGTAGCACTAAAACACTTGAGTATCCACCCGGAGTTTACTCTCCAACTTCCAGTGTCAAGAAGGTTTACCAAGTTAACATAACCAAACAATAATTTAAAGAAAACACTGAAATATTTCTTTTTTCCTCCCGAGATCAAATTTAATGTCTTTAAGAATCTGGGTTATGGTGAGGACGGGGAAGTTGTACTCACTTAGTTGTGCTTTGCGGGGAGGGTTGAGCTTTGGCTCTTTGGTCCCGCCTCTTGTGTTCGATTCTCGATGTTACGACCTACACAGTTTTGTGTGATTTATATAATATTTGTATTTCAATTTTCTTACATGTGCTGGCGTGGATTGTTGTTTTTGGCAAGTTTAAGGGAGGGAGGGGGAGGGGGGCGGGGGATGAGAAGTATGGTGCATCATGGGGGTATGGGACATCATGGGGTATGGGACAATATGGGGGGGGCAGATTCACGAAGCAGTTAGGCAAGTACTTACGAGCGTGTACATCTTTCCTAAATCTCTAAAGGCTTTGGTTACATTTATTAAACAGTTTACAAGCATGAAAACTTGCCAGTCAACTGTTGTTATTGTTATAAACAGCCTCCTGGTGCTTCGGAGCTCATTAACTGTTTAATAATTGTAAACAAAGCCGCCAAAGATTGAGGAAAGATGTACAGGTTCGTAATTACTTGCCTAACTGTTTCGTGAATCTGGCCCATGGTTCTTAAATACTAAACAAAAATCATTTGTTTCTGTACTTCCTGTCCAACATGTAGTTACCGCTTCACAACATTTACAACATACACACAAATATATATATTTTTATAAATATTTATGTATATATATATATATCAAAAGTGGTGGTAAAAGAAGCAAGTCAAACGGGGAGTTTTTCTCTGAATGCTCCGTATTCTCTTCTCCGAAGCGATGGGTCCCACCATTTGCACTAGAGGTGGTATCCATAATATATATATATATATATATATATATATATATATATATATATATATATATATATATATATATATATATATATATATATATATAAATCTCGTGAGCAGGACAAGAGAGCTGTTACTGAATGCACTGTGCGGTGGGCCGTCCGTTCAAAGAAATGAGTGAGGGTTTTACCGCTCAGACGGTGGAATAGTGGTAATATTTGTAGTTTGTGTGGATGTGGTGACCGGCCGGATGGGTGACCGACCGGCCGGATGGGTGACCGGCCGGCGGGCTGGTCTCAAATCATTGCTGTTTTATTCTTTAATGCTCGTCTTTGTTGCCAGTATGAACGCGGTCTTACAATCTACGGAATGAAAATGATGCACAAAATGTTTCGTAATTGCCTACAGAACATTCCACCTCCGGACTTGACAGAAGCGCTCAGAGGAACACATGACCACCGCACTTAATCACGAGTGCATTCCCTGGATGTGCCGCACATTAATTCCGGCTTGCATAGATGTGTTGCAGTGATCACGCGGCGTTAGTGTAATAGGCGGGGGAAAATGGGACGATAATGTCTAATTAGCGAGGGTTAATGGGGAGGAGGAAGGCGGAGGTGGTCAGTTCTTATGTCTTCTTTCTTGAAAACGTCTTGCATGGGGTAAGACGTTGCCCCCCATGCAATTATATATAAATATATATTGATATATATACTGCCACACATGATTCACCGTTGAGAGGCGGGACCAAAGAGCCGAAACTCAACCCCCTGCAAGCACAACTAGGTGAGGACACACATGGGAACGGTACTGAGGCATTATGTAGAGTACCGCTATTGTTTCCCTCCTCCCCCCCCCCCCCCCCTTCCCTTCTCCCTCACTCCTTCCCCATCCCTCATTTCTCCTACCCCACCTATCCCCCCCTTACTCACCTCCTCCCCCTTTTTTTCATCGTCTCCTCCCCCTCCTTCCCACTCCCTTCCTCTCTTGAGTACTTGACATATCACGAGCGGAGGGAAAACTCGCTAGTTGTGCTTGACACCTTGTGTGTGTGTGTGTGTGTGTGTGTGTGTGTGTGTGTGTGTGTGTGTGTTCACCTAGTTGTGCTTGTGTGGGATGGGGGGTTCAGCTCTGGCTCTTTGGTCCCTCTGTCAATCTTGCAACTGTCTCTCAAGTGGTCTACCGCGTCTGTGGTAGATAGTAGACTAATGACCCCGCCATTCATTCCCAGCACAAGTCACAATCACGTGACTGAAGTCAAAACCCCTCCACCTACGGTACACCTACGGTACACCTACGGTACACCTACGGTACACCTACGATACACCTACGATACACCTACGATACACCTACGATACACCTCCGGTCGCGAGCCTCAGCGCCGCCAGTAGCCTCAACACCCAGTGAGACAGAGACGAGGTCCTCCTGTAGCACAGCCTTACCTGAAACAGGGAAACAAAAATAGTATCAGATGACACAGAAATAATACAATTGGACAATCACAAGGGAAATGAGGGTAGATAAAAGTTATTAATATCTGGTGGTCATATAATTGTTTTTCATTGAAGGATGCAGGAATAAAAGTATTCTGACTATTACTTATAGGTTCTGACTCCTACGACTAGTGCTAAGTCTTCCCTTAGTGGGTTTATCCCTAGCACATGATCCGCTAATAAATTTACATCCAGATTTCCATTTACCGCTGGGTACACAGGGACGGGTTGGTGGATGAGACGGTTCTCAGTGGTTTCTGTCTCGGCTGGGAGTGTCTAACTCTTCTGTCTAACACAGAACACTAACACACTTAGACAGGAGACACTCTCCTGTCTAACCCAGGGTTAATCACGTCTTGGGTATGTTGAGAACACTACCCAGCAAGAACAGGGCAGATAGAAACAATTTTAAATCGGTTAACACGCCCCCACACCCACACGCCAATGCCCACATGGCCACGCCCACACCCACACGCCCACACAGACACGCCCACACAGACACGCCCACACGCCCACACGCCAATGCCCACATGGCCACGCCCCCACCCACACAGACACTCCCATACGCCCACACAGACACGCCCACACGCCAATGCCCACATGGCCACGCCCCCACCCACACGCCCACACAGACACGCCCACACAGACACGCCCACACAGACACGCCCACGCTTGCAGCCAAAGCTGCGCGATCTCCGGCGACTGGAATACAAACATTTGAACAAGGTCGTAACCCGGTCGTTAATGAATGTGATTGATGCTCGTATTTTTGTTTACATTTGCTGTTGTTGTTGTGTTATTTGTTGTCCTGTTATTGTTGTGATTATGGTGACCTGATCAATAACGTTATAGTCTTATTGATCAGTAAGTCAGTGTCAACATCTGCCTCAGCAGCGGCATTAAATGTACATTTTCGGGAAAATCCGGAGAGTTATGAACGGCTACGTCCCTTCACCCCCTCTTCCCCCCCCCCCTCCCCCCCTTCCCCCCCTTCCCCCTTCACTTCCCTGCCCCTTCCACTCCCCTCCCTTAACCCCCTCCCATTACGTCACGCTGGTGCCTGCAGTGGTGAAGGTTGTGTGTGTGTGTGTGTGTGTGTGTGTGTGTGTGTGTGTGTGTGTGTGTGTGTGTGTGTGTGTGTGTGTGTGTGTGTGTGTGTGTGTGTGTGTGTTTACTATTTGTGCCTGCAGAATCGAGCTGTTAGCTCTTGGGGCCCCACTTTTCTAACCCATCTATTTTTTTCCTCTATTATATCTGATGCATATATTTCTCAATCGCGTACGTACACACACACACACACACACACACACACACACACACACACACACACACACACACACACACACACACACAGATATGACAGAGCCCGATAGGCTCAGGAATCTGTACACCTGTTGATTGACGGTTGAGAGGCGGGACCAAAGAGCCAGAGCTCAACCCCAGCAAACACAACTAGGTGAGTACAACTAGGTGAGTACACACACTCTCACACACACACTCTCACACTCACACACACTCACACACACACACACACACACACACACACACACACACACACACACTCTCACACTCACACGCACGCACACGCGCACACGCACGCACACGCACGCACACGCACAAAGTCAGGGACCACTGGGTTCTGGGAGTGTTACCGGACGTAACGATTGGGAAATATAGTAAATTATTCATCACTGTGAAGGACGTTCGGGTTTTTACCATGGGGCAGCAGCGAGGCGCACGCACGCATGCACGCACGCACGCAGACCTTCACGAACACGCATGTTCACGTTCAAGCAAAAGTACAGTCTCACGTTCAGGAATAAGAACAATTACAATGGCTTCTCCACGTTTCGATATCAGAACAGGTAGAGAGGCTGTAAGGTCGAGGGTGAACGTAGACCAGGACCTGCTGCTGCTGCTGCTACTGCTGCAGATGCTGCTGCTGTTACTGCTGCTGCTGCGAGCACCGACGCTGTACAACACATTCAATATAACAGTAGATGAAGACCACCATGAAAAGAATGATTTGTTAAGACTGTTTTCACAATCCCTCTTTTTCTCCTCCTGTTCCTCACACACTGTTCGGTTCAGCTATAAACACTTCTCAACTATTAACTCCTTTCTCGCACAGTTCCCCGTCCCATGGTTGCTGAGCATATACTACCTCCCCTCCCACAGCACTGGGCATTAACTAGCACACTCCCTCCTCCATAGAACTTGACATGTACTAGCAACCTCTTCCTCACTCCCCACGGCGATACGATACCTTATTGTTCTAATAGTCGGCTTCAAACAGCTCCTGGCATTCACAAACATCCACTCACAGGGGGCCCCACAGGGGGCCTCGTAGCCTGGTGGATAGCGAGGGGGCCTCGTAGCCTGGTGGATAGCGAGGGGGCCTCGTAGCCTGGTGGATAGCGCGCAGGATTCGTAATTCTGTGGCGCGGGTTCGATTCCCGCACGAGGCAGAAACAAATGGGCAAAGTTTCTTTCACCCTGAATGCCCCTGTTACCTAGCAGTAAATAGGTACCTGGGAGTTAGTCAGCTGTCACGGGCTGCTTCCTGGGGTGTATGTGTGTGTGTGTGTGGTGTGGGGAAAAAAAAAGTAGTAAACAGTTGATTGACAGTTGAGAGGCGGGCCGAAAGAGCAAAGCTCAACCCCCGTAAAAACACAACTAGTAAACACTCACAATACCTTCCCCCTCACCCACCCATCTCCTCTTCTCCTCAGCATCCATCCAGCTGCCCAATACTTTCCCTGGTAACATAGAAGAGCTGTGAGAGAGACACCAGTGTCACTGTCCGTGCCCGAGGTGAGACAACGGGGGAGACACAACAGTTACTTGCGGGACCTCCTTCACTCCCAGCACCGCCGCGCCATAATGGGGTACGACAAGGCGGGAAAAAGTCATAGACGGATGCCCGCCCGAGTCTCCTTGATCTCACGTCGTGGAGAGTTGCTGGCTTGTAAGACGAAATGTTGTGTTTCTTGCGCGTGTGTGTTCTCACTTAGAAGGTCGTGCACAGCCAAGCTTTAGCTCCTAATCCTCGACTCGAGTGTGCAGTGATTGGTTCAACAGCACCTCATTGTAGGTCATTCTTCCTGACGTCCCTTTGACTCATTTGCGAATCCAGCTTCCACCCATGGTCCAGGTTCCATCCATGGCCCCTCCATGGCCCCCTCACTCCACTATTTGTTAATCCTTGTTCCTTCCCCTAGTATCTTTTAACGTCGCTATCGTTATATTCCACATATTACTGCGGTCTCCAGAAAGGAGAGGTCCCACTTTTTTCTCCTTGAATACCGGGACGAGCCTCACTGTATGTATCTGTATTTTATGTTGATTAAAGTGGGAATTCCTTGCCGGTGCTGCATTATCGAGGGTTGGTCTCACATGTGTTGAAAACAGTGTTCTTCCTTATCTAGGTTCAAGTTTATTGAGTTTATTGAGACAATAAAAATACATCTCAAAAGGATAGAGTAAGCTTAGGCTATTTCTATCCTCTTTATCTAGGTTCCAGGGGCCAGATTCACGAAGCAGTTACGCAAGTACTTACGAACCTGTACATCTTTCATCAATCTTTGCCGGCTTTGGTTGCATTTATTAAACAGTTTATAAGCCTGAAAACCTCCCAATCAACTGTTGTTATTGTTATAAACAGCCTCCTGGTGCTTCGGAGCTCATTAACTGTTTAATAATTGTAAACAAAGTCATCAAAGATTGAGAAAAGATGGACAGGTTGAAATTGAAATTGAAATTGAAATAAGTTTATTGAGGTAAAATACACACAAAGGGATGAGGTAGCTCAAGCTATTCTCACCCCGTTCAGTACAACGTGTTAATACATACATAGACACACATCACAAACAATAAACATATTACCAAACATTCTGAGAGGTAAACATATACATTTCCTCCTTCACAAGTAGTATGGTATCAGACGTACACACAAATACTTTTATGACCTAGGTATACTGTATAGACAATTTGCAAGACACCTGCAGATAATTCAACAAAATATTACAATCTTGGTGCAAAATTCTTATATCTCTCAAGAATATCATCAACCTTTCCGTTGTGACACATCCAGGCTATTTGTTCAGGAACAGTCCTTATCTCAGTGTTTCTATATACACTAATCAACGGACAATCAAGAATATAATGGGCAAGGGTGTGAGACCTTAACATACCACATAGTTTACACTTCGTGTCATTACCATGAACATCTATCCCATATTCCCAGTAATATTTGTACCCAAGCCTGAATGGACAGGTTCGTAAGTACTTGCGTAACTGTTTCGTGAATCTGGCCCCAGATTTAGGTTATCCGGAGATTTGTCAGTATTGCACATGTTACAACCACTACTCTGCTCAACTGCTGCCTCGCCTCTGGTTATGGGTTAGGTTGACTTCTGAGACTGAAAGTTCTCTCTCCTTTATCTGGCACAGTTGATGGGGTCGGTTTCCTCCTCATCTTATCGTCACAATTCTACACTTTTCACTGTTGAGTTCCTCTAGAAATTTCTTAAGGGGAAGGGAATTATCAGGGCACAGCTCCAAGCCCCTGCGACTATATAGCACTTGGAAGGGGTCAGGATAAGGATTTGGGATGGGACGGGGGGGGAAAGGAATGGTGTCCAACCACTTGGACGGTCGGGGATTGAACGCTGACCTGCAGAAAGCGAAACCGTCGCTCTACCGTCCAGCTCAAGTGGCTGGGGAAATTTCTTCCAACCATCTCTGAAGTTTTTCTAGATATTTTTGCATTCCTTAAATTCCTTAATTGCATTAAATTGCATTCCTTAAATTCCAAGTGGTGCCCAAGCACTTGGACGGTCGAGAATTGAACACTGACCTGCAGAAAGCGAGACCGTCGCTCTACCGTCCAGCCCAAGTGGTTTGGGAAATTTCTTCCAACCATCTCTGAAGTTTTTCTAGATACTTTTTTGCATTCCTTAAAGTCTTCCTCTGTCTTATCTCTTCTCGTTAGCTTCGCATCGTTAGGAAATGTGTATTTGAATAATTCTATTTCCTTAATGTGATCGATAACTAATGTTAAAAGCAAGTGACTTGTTGCACCCCGCTCGTGGCCACTGTGATCTTTCGTCTTTCACTATCACCATCTGTTTCCTATACGAGCGACACTCTTCAGCCATTCAAATAGTTAACTGTTGAACAAATCCACAAGGGCCGTGACGAGGATTCGAACCTTCGTCCGGAAGCATTCCCAGACACTGCCTTAATCGACTGAGCTACGACAGGGTAAAAGGGTTGAAACCCTTTCACCCTGTTCATGGTCTTGTGGATTTGCTCATTTGATGCATCAAGTTAGTGTGATCTCTGTGTGTAGTTAACTGTTAACGTAAGGTTAACAGTTCGGGACTGAGTCTTTTGACAGTCCAGGAAGACACAGTTCATGCCTTACTTGGTTTAAAGAGGTAATCTTGTCCT